GGAAAACTATACACACGGTCTAAATATGCTATAAATAAGCCGGCTCTATAGGGTCTAAACAATTGACTCTATAGGCTCCATATGGTACCGGCTCTGTAGGGTCTAAACAATTGAGTCTAGAGACCTCGTAGGGTGTCTACAGGCTCCATAAGGTCTAAACAATTGAGTCTATAACAATTATAACAATTGAATAAGCTATAAACAGGCAGAAGACCCATAAATGCTCTATATCCAACAAAAACATACCTGAATAAGTAGTGATAATGAGCTCATATTCTTTTCCGAGTTCAACGTCCACAAGATCAACCAATTCTTCACTCATCTTCCTATCAAGAGGTAAGAATTCAAAATATGCCATGGTGGGAATAAGCGTATAAGAGACCTCATTTGGGTTACACAAAGGGTTTAGATTAACCCCAAAGTAGCACTCAGAAGAAGCATACATGGTGCAAACAAGAGGGAGGCCATTGCTATATTTATCCAAAGTTGGGATATACTGTGACATAGTACCTGTCACAATAACATCAACATACTTTGTATTTGGCCACAGCCTAGTTATGATACCTGCCCACGTCCCTTTGCTGCACTCAAATTCAATCAAATCAGCCAGCACAGGGTCAGGTTTCAGAATGTTCATGACTGATTGTCTCACTAATGGGTCGCTGATTCTAGGGTTTATGGTTCCTGTTCTGATATCATTAGCCAAAAGGACCCAATGGGTTTCAAGGAATTTGATGGCTCGAATGAACCCAGATGCGAAAACTGAACCAACTCTAAGGACTTGCTGGCTCAGACATAACCCACAAAGGAACTGAGAGTACATGCTTTGATATGAGTCTGTGCAAAGAATTGTTTGGTTAGGGCTGGTGTAATCAGTGTAGAGATCATATGGGCGGTCCTTAAAGTGTGAGCTTTTGTAGTAGCTAGTGAGAACTGGACGAGCTGGTAGTCCTCCAGGAGTTGTGGATTCGGATTTTACGAACAAAAAGTACATTCCTTTCCCTTTGTTCAAGCCTGGAATGAATTGGTTCATTACAGGCATCAAAAGGGAGTAAAGAAATGATCTTCTCTTCAGCTCTTCTTTGGTTGTCGGCATTAATTTCCGCTCCCCTCCCGATGTTCCAGAACTAGAATAGAAAAACATAAACAACAATTGAATTCAAACACAGTTGGGAGAGGAGCACCACATCGGCTAATTAAGGGGTTGATCATGGGTTTGTAAGTAAGGAATACATCTCCACCGGTGGTTCCTAAAAAACTTAAGCTCAAAGTGGACAATATCATACTATTGTGGAGAGTCGTGGTTCCTAACATGGTATCAGAGTTATGCCCTTAACTTAACCATGTCAATAGAATTCTCAAATATTGAACAAAGAATTGTGAGCCTCAAAAGTATAGTCAAAAGTGACTAAAGTGTTAAACAAAAGGTTTACTTTGTTCAAAAGCTCAAGAGAAGGAGTTGAGCCTTGATTAAGGGGAGGTTGTTCGAGGGTTCCGTAGATCTCAGAGGAGGCTCTATGGTGTACTTTGTTCAAAACCATGAGAGCTTATACTGAAAGTAGACAATATCATACAATTGTGGAGAGTCGTAGTTTCTAACAAGAATAACTACAATGAATTTGTTTACACTCACCTGGTTAAGAATTCAGATATGGGTTCGGAACATAGGATTGGAGAAGCATCGCCGTTAGCAATTCGATCGATGTATGGCTTTAAATTCTCATAAGAAACAACGGGAACTATGTTCTTGAATGCCATCCTATCCATACACCCATCAAGCCCTTGTTGTTGTAGGTACTCAACATGGGCGTTGCGGGAGAGAATTTCAGTAAGAACCCTTCGTTGAACTTGATCAGCATGAGTTGTAATCTCTTCAATATGCTGCAATAGTGCACCTTCATCTTTCCCCGGCATCTCTATGAGCTCTAGCTAGCAACTCAAGCCAACCCAAATTGATTGATGAAGCTGTATTTAGGCCTTTGCTATTTATATAGGGTTTAGGGTGGTGTCTAAGAAAACTCAATTTAATATATGCTGCTGAAATTTGGAGCCAATGGTATTATTGAACTCTACATATAAAGCTTTCGTCACCTTGCAGGCACTTGAAATTCACTCAATATGTGGAATTTTATGCTTTTGTTGCTCCAAAAATCAAGGTGGTAGCCCTTTAACCAATGAATTCCTTAACATCATCTCAATCATCACTAATCTAATTACCCATACACTAATTCCTCGAGCGTTACTATTTTCATCGAGCGTAGAAGCTATCTAAGTCTTCATTGTATTTTAATTCAATAACGTTTGAAATGAACGTTTTGATTCTTGGTTGAGCTTATATGTCTAAACAAATTAAATTATGGATCGAGACACAGAATTTGAAGGTTGACTTGATTTTTTTTTTTTTTTTTTTTTTTTTTTTTTTTTTTTTTTTTTTTTTNTTCATCGAGCGTAGAAGCTATCTAAGTCTTCATTGTATTTTAATTCAATAACGTTTGAAATGAACGTTTTGATTCTTGGTTGAGCTTATATGTCTAAACAAATTAAATTATGGATCGAGACACAGAATTTGAAGGTTGACTTTTTTTTTTTTTTTTTTTTTTTTTTTGGAAGGACAGTACCCAAAGGGTTTGGGAGGCGTGTGAGGATGTGAGTGTTGGGTGTGGTTTAGGAGACAAGCGGAGGCAAAGTCGGGATGGGACTTCTAAGGTCAACTCCTTTGATTTGTTTATATTATCTCTTTCTCTCTCTTTGGTGGTGCAATGCTTTATCATCTCTCTCTCTCTATATATATATATATTAAAAACTAGGGTAGTTTTGTAAGTTGAAAGAGTAATACATAGTCACTTCAACTCATGATTTATAGGAAATAATTCCGTGGTAAATTATTACTAGTTATTCAAGCTCTACCGAAATGGTGATAAAAACGTCTCGATTCAATACTTGTGTCTAAAATTATTAGAGATTTTCGTTTAAACTGTAAAGCGTTTAAACTGTAAAGTTGGTCATCTACGATGACCTATTTAGAATGAAAAATTCTCATTCAAATAAGAAATGAAAAAGAGATTAGAGAGAGATTTTATTTCCCGTTAGTTGGATAGGGCCTAAGATAATAGAAATTGAAATAGGAAGCCGGGATGAAGATAGGTAACAACCAAAGTCCGGTTGATAAATTGCTACCTTGTGACTAGAGCGTGATTAGCGGCTATGGACTATGGTCCCTCAACTCGAGTTGGATTGTCTTGGCAGGTTTGTCCGGTTGGGATGGCCATAAGGCAGTCTAACAAACTTCAAAGCTTTTATCTTTTATTTCATTTTTCGCTTTCGTCTTTTCGACTTTTTAGGGCATATTTAAGAAAGTTGGAGGGGTTAGAACCTTCTTACATAATTGTACAGTTAGGTCCAATAAGAAACATGTTGATAATGTCTTTATAATCACATATTTTTACTTTATTGATATATATGTAATTCATTTAATTACACGTTCTCTTTTCTCCATTGCTTTAATGATGTGCCCTATAAGTCAATTCGGAAAGAGACTTCCAAAAGAGAAATAATTATATACACTATAGTTTTAATTTTGTCCCCAAAAATATTAAGACTATAGAATAATGTGGAAAAATAATACATAGATGGATATATACCAAATTATTTTTAGTGGATGTGTCTAATCCATTCAAGTACACATTGATAAGAGTGGCAGAATTATAAAGAAAAGGGTAATCTTTGGTAGATTATTGTGTTATAGTTTAGCCCAACATTCCACTTGCATGTAATCAATTTTTGACTCTATGACTATAAGATCCAGCCATCGATTTGGAACGAAAGTTAGCCTTAGTGATCTAAAGGTATTGAGTGAAAGAGTCGTTGCTCAACGGATAAAAGTTACTCTCGGGATAATAGACTCATTTTCTACAAGAGCTCACATCAACGCGAAGGATTGACACCTCGATGTCGGCTCTTCACCACTTAAGGTTGTAGTAATCAGGTTACGTGAATACTTCTCTTTAGACCCAAAAGAATATTTACGAGGAAGATTATTAGTAAATGACCGAAAGAAAGAAAAATCTTATTAAAATGTATAAAAGATGAAAAAGGGTGACATGAAAGGTAGCTTTCTATCAATATTGAGATGCAGGCTGAATGGGTTACACAAAGAAGCAGCGATGATGGAATGTGCATAAAGTATCAAAAGATTAATACCAAGTTGATCACCTGAGACACTAAGGAGGGGACGGTTTGGTCTAATGAATTGGGCTTTCGAACAGATTTGTTTGTTGCTTTTAATTGTGTTTCTTTGTCATTTGGGGAAGCACGCAACCATATCGCCAAGTTGAAATTCAAACAGAGCCTTCCACAAATAGTTTATGGATGCCAAACACATTTCTCAACTTTGTTCTCGGCTCAACAAATGGTGACTTGAAGCACGAGGGGCACTAGCTTTTAAGAGCTAAGATGATTGAAGATCAAAACCTAAATGTGTCAAGGGTTTTTCATCGAAACCAGGACCGTCAAAGATCAAAGTGCAAGCACGGCTAGGAATAGTGTCCTTTTCCTCCTTCCCCTCGTAAATTATTAGTCAAGTAGATCGATTTGATCCGTTTGAAAGAAAAGTAAGAAGTAAGATTCAGATAAAATTAGAATCTATTTTTATATTATTTTTTAATTATAAATTTAAAGGTTTTTTTTTCTTAATCTCTTTTTTTCTCCAAAATTTTAACTTTTATAATGTTAATTTTTTCAAATAAAATAATTAACAATGAATAATATTACATGGGTTTATTTAAGCCCAATTCAGAGGGTCAATATGTGTAAGCTTGATCCAACTTGGGCTTTTATTTAGGCCCATGGACTGAACTAAGGGCCCATTTTAGAGATTGGGCTAAAGATTATAGAGTGGGGCAGCCCAACCTAATAAAGCAAGCTCGATAATGACTTATTTACCCGCAGTGGACCAAAAAAGGATGAAGAATTACAGAAGACCGGCTCTGCCGACATGCGTGGGTCAAGCCAATTATTGAGTAAGCCACAGCAGCATACGAGTGGACATAGACGCGGAAACAGCTAGACAAGGAGAACAAAAAGGAGATAAAATATCTGAAGCTCCGATCCGACAAAGCCCCGGAATCGAATTGTAAGAATGGGAAAGAAGGCGGTGCTGATCGGATGCAATTACCCAGGAACTAAGGCCGAGCTCAGAGGATGCATCAACGACGTTAAACGGATGCATCAGTGTCTGATCGACCGATTCGGATTCTCCGAGGACGACATCAGCATCCTGATAGATACCGATGATTCCTACCCCCAACCCACCGGCAAGAATATCCGCTCCGCCCTTGCCCGTCTCGTCAGATCCGCCGAACCAGGTGATTTTCTCTTTGTCCATTACAGTGGCCACGGCACCCGCCTCCCTGCTGAGACCGGCGAGGACGACGACACCGGCTACGACGAATGCATCGTTCCCTCTGATATGAACCTCATCACCGGTCAGTCATTTCTCTGATCTGATATGAACCCACTTAATCGCAGTTACCCATTTGTTCTGTGTTGCGATTTTGAATCTGTTTGGCTGAAATTTCAATTCCGACCCGTTTGATCTTGTGCGAGCAGATGATGATTTCAGGGAGTTGGTAGATCAGGTTCCGGCGGGATGCCGATTAACGATTGTATCGGATTCTTGCCACAGCGGTGGTCTTATAGATGATGCAGAGGAACAAATAGGAGAAAGCACTAACTCCAAGAGCCAAGCAGAAGGAAGCAACTCCCGATTTGGTTTCAGGAGCTTTCTTCATCAAACTGTTGAGGATGCTTTCGAGTCACGTGGGATTCACATTCCCTCGGCATTCCAACGCCGTCGCCAAGATCATTCATCGACGGAGGACGATGTGCAAGACAGAGAGATTGAACTTTCATATGGTGAGCGAGTCAATGTGAAAAGCAGATCGTTACCCCTTTCCACGCTTATAGACATTCTTAAGCAAAAAACTGGTAAGGATGATATTGATGTGGGGAAATTGAGGCCGACCCTTTTCGATGTTTTTGGAGATGATGCGAGCCCCAAGGTGAAGAAGTTTATGCAGGTGATCATGAACAAACTCCAGGGCGGTGGTGGTGGAAATGGAGAGTCTGGTGGAGGATTCTTGGGAATGGTTGGGAGTTTGGCTCAAGAATTCCTCAAGCAAAAGTTGGATGAGAAGGATGAAGATTATGTTAAGCCCGCAATGAATACTGAACTTGGCAGCAAAACTGAGGCGTATGCTGGGCCATCCAAGCGCGCACTTCCAGATGGTGGGATACTCATCAGTGGCTGCCAGACTGACCAAACATCTGCTGATGCTACTCCTTCTGGCAACGCCGACGCCGCATATGGGGCTCTTAGCAATGCAATTCAGACCATACTGAGAGAATCTGATGGTTCAGTTACCAACGAGGATCTTGTTACGACGGCTAGGAAGATGCTGAAAAAGCAAGGCTTCACTCAGAAACCTGGGCTCTACTGCAGTGATCATCATGTTGATGCTCCCTTCGTGTGCTGATTTTGCTTAATTACTTGTGTTCGTGTGTGCTTTCTGGAACTGGAAATTGCCTTTACAAATCACTTTTGGGTATTGGCGTGATCGTGTTGCTATGTTTTCCTTTTGAATCATTTTGGTTTGCGTTATACACTTAATAAAAGCTTGAACCTTACATTATCAATGAATGAATATCTGTGTGGGACAACATACCTCGAGTGCAGCCACAACCATAGCTCACACGAGCCCTTACCAATATTTGTATGGTCGAGTGCACCCACAACCATAGCTCACACGAGCCCTTACCAATATTTGTATGGTCTCAGGGCGATGGATATACAATCTTCGTTAAATCCTTTTAAAGTGCTTACGGATGGATATGATCACGACCTCCTAAACCGATATGTTCTTAAGGTCGCTGAATTGCTCGAAGGAAGTAACAATTTGCATAAATCTTGAGGGAACCGTTCAAAGGAACTTCTTGACTACAAAGATCTCCTCCACCTTGTTGCCTAACGAATGGATACCGCTAACAATCGTCATCAACTTCATGGCAGTCGTTTATTGACTCGCTGTCTTTCATGCAGATAGCCTTGAACTCACTCTTCAAGATCTGCACCTTTGCTTCCTTAACACGTTCACCCACATGCATTGTTTGCAATATCTCCTATGTTGTCTTTGCCGAATCCTTCTTTGCCAACATGAGAAGGATCTCTTCTAGGACTGCTTGGTAAATGGCGGCAAGAATCATCCTATCCTTACGCTCCTCAATATCGTCATCATGCCCGATGGTGTCCCACATGCCTTGAACTTGTAAGTTAACACACATCTTTATTGACTATGTTGCGTAGTTACTATCGTGAGTAACAGGTACTAGAGCGTTACACTCTCCTCCCATCCGCTCTTTATTATTGTCACATCTCCTCCGACAACTTTGTATAATGACGACATTTGTTTCTAACTTCCTAATTTTAAAACAAAGAAACCTTCATCATTAGCTTTGCTCGATAAAGCGTATACATCTCATAAATATTTACCGGGAAAAAATACTATTAGTTTCCTAAACTTCCTCCACAAATTAACAATTATTAACCATTCTTCCAGACAAAAATCTAACAATTTCTTTCAACTTAGTCAAGAATCCTATCAGCTCCCTTTGAAATGGATTTCCATGTGACATGACGGGTACAAGAGATATGCCCGACCCCATCAAGATCATCTCAACATTGATCTCTTATATTTCACCCCCTTCATTCTGCAATTCCAGTTTTCCTTCCAATTCCTTGTTCATTTTCTTCAGAAATCAGGGTTTATAGCCATGGCCGACGTTGATTACCGCCAAGCTCTTAAACCACTACTGGATTTCTCCACCGCCAGGTTCAGTTCTGTCGGTACTGTGGGGGAGTTGTCAGACGTTGATGTAGATGGACTGAATTTCCTTATGTGTATGCATGTTTGAAAGTTTTAAATTCTACGTACTTTTCGCTATTTCCAAATAAGAAAGGTAACGACTCATTGTTCGAGTCCCTCAAAAAGCGGGTCGTTATAGATTGGTATCAGAGCTTTAGATTGTTAGGTTCTGTAGACTGTTCAGAGAGAGAGTCTTAGAGCCCACCATATCCCAGCTTGACTAAGCCTTGCCACGGTCTGGTAAGCAGTTATAACATAAATAATCAAGATATCTTGGAGAACTGAACTAACTAATGTACGTAATATCGTTTAAATGGGGATGTTGAAAGATGGGATGTAAATCTAACCTGAGATTCGTTTGGGTGTGTCTGATTAAATCAACCCAAAGCGAAGCGAGTGGTTCTGAAGACGAGGATGAGCTCTGCTACTTTGGGTTCTTAGCAGATTGCCGGAATCGGCTGAAGGATCCATTACCTCCGACTTATTTCGGGAACTTCCTTGATGTGGGCGTTGTAGTATTGAAGAAGAGTGAGCTTGTGATTTGTAACAGTACCGTTGTTGCGGCGAAGGCGATCGGGAACAGAGTGGAGGAATTCGAGAGTGAGCCATTTAAAATGGCAGAGGAGTGGTTCTCATTGTGGAGGCCATGTGCGAAAGGTAAACACTTCCAGACCATTGCAGGGACGCCAAAATTAAGGGCTTAAGATGCTGATTTTGGGTGGGGAAGGCCGATGAAAAGTGAAGTGCCTTCATGTGGACAGCTCCGACTCAATTTCTGTGCAGGATTCCAGAGATGAACAAGGCGGGATTGAAATTGGATCGATTTATGGCCATATGGAAACAGAATTTGGAAGGGTTATGTGGTTAATGACAGCCACGTTATGATGTTTTCCTTTTTTGTTCATGTTGAATTCTGCCATGCAATATTTAGAAATTATTATCAATAAATTGGTGTCCGTTCTAAATAAAGTCTCCTTTTTATTTTTTATTGAGCATTCGTATATTTGTTTTGTTGGGATTATCTATAATTGGAAAAAGAATAAAGAACAATTTACCAAGTGGACGAAACCTAAAAAGGAAACAAATAAATAATCATAAATAGATGAATTTTAAAGGTATAATTAAAATTTAAAGTGTCAAACAAAAACATTTTGAATAATACAAAGTGTCACACAAAACCTTTTGAATTTATCAAATACTAAAACATTTTGAACTTGGCCACGACTAACACTTGGGTCCCGGTCCACGACTAACACTCCCCCACTTCTTTCTTCTGTTCAAAGAATTTATCATTAGGTTTACATGTAGAATAGAAAATTCTTGTAACGTGTTTTTTAATTTTTTTTTAGGCCTATCTCTTCGTTTCTTTGGTTGAGATGCCAAGTTTTTAATACGATGTTCTTCCTCCCTCATCTTTTTTCTTATAGTACAGTGTTCTTCCTCTAGTATTCTTGTTACATAGGATAGCTATTGTAAATGATAGAGTAAATTGTCATAAATAGTAAATAACTATGTATACTACAAATGGAGCCTTTTGCCGTACTTGGCAAAGTTATTATTGACTTGAATAATTGGTAAGAATGGGTTAGATTTTTGGAGAATTGTTAATAATGGTTAAGGTCTGTGATTAGGAATAACACACAAATTAACAATTTTTCTAAACAAAAATCTAACAGTTTCTTTCAAATTATTCAAGTCAATAATAACTTTACTAAGTAAAACAGAGGGCTCCATTTGAATTAGATATCCATGGGACACGTTAGGTAAAAAAAAAGATATCCCCGACCCCATCAAGATCATCTCAACATTCATCTCTTATCTTTCCACATTGATCTCCATTCTGCAATTCGTTCTTCATTTTCTTCACAAATCAGCGTTTATAGCCATGGCCGACGTTGATTACACCGCCAAGCTCTTAAACCTCTACCGGATTTCTCCTCCGGCAGGTTCAGTTCCGACCACCCTTCTCCCCATTAGTTTCCTCGACTTCATCTGGATGATTTGCAGACCCATGCGCCGCCTTTTCTTCTTCCAATTCCCTCACTCTACCAATCACTTCATGGACTCTGTTTTCCCCACTCTCAAAAGCTCCCTCTCTCTTTCTCTCCAACACTTCTTCCCTCTCGCCGGAAATCTCATCCTCCCTCCTCAACCCCAAAAGCCCCACATCCTTTACACACCTCACGACTCTGTTCCTCTTACCGTAACAGAGTCAACCGGCGGCGATTTCAACACTCTAATCGCCGACTACCCTCGCGACGCCAAACACTTTTACCCCTTTGTTCCAGACATGCCGGAGTCACGTCTCTTGCCGGACGGATCACGTGCGATACCAAATTTCGCAATCCAAATCACAATTTTCCCGAATCAAGGTCTGTGTATTTGTATAGCGTTTCATCACGTGGTTGCCGATGGAATAGCCATTCACCATTTTATTAAGTCATGGGCATCCATCTCTAGAAATGGAGGCACCTCCGATTCATTTGAAGGGCCATTGCCCTGCCACAACAGGGCAGCAATCAAGGACGTAAAAGGGTTAGAGTCCATTTTTTTACAGGAGTTGTCAAGTTGGGATTCGTTATGGAACCCAGTTCCTTATAAGCCAATAATCGATCAGGCGCCTGTTGACAGGGTCAGAACGACGCTCGTCCTGACCAGACCCATGATCGAGAAATTGAAAACATGGGTCTCAGCTGAATCAAACAATGACGAAGAGTTGAAGCCATTACGATTGTCATCGTTCATCGTCACATGCTCTCTCGTTTGGGGCTGTCTGATCAAATCAACCCAAAGCGAAGTGAGTGATTCTGAAGACGAGGACGAGCTCTGCCACTTTGGGTTCTTAGCAGATTGCCGGAATCGCCTGAAGGATCCATTACCTCCGACTTATTTCGGGAACTGCCTTGACGTGGGCGTTGTAGAATTGAAGAAGAGTGAGCTTGTGAAGCGTAACAGTACCGTTATGGCGGCGAAGGCGATCGGGAACAGAGTGGAGGAATTTGAGAATGAGCCATTGAAAGTAGCAGAGAAGTGGTTCTCATTGTGGAAGGCATATTCGAAGGATAAACACTTCGTGACCATTGCAGGGTCGCCTAAATTAAGGGCATATGACACTGATTTTGGGTGGGGAAGGGCGATGAAGAGTGAAGTGCTTCATGTGGACAGTTCCGAATCAATTTCTCTGCAGGATTCCAGAGATGAAGAAGGTGGGATTGAAATTGGTTTGGGGCTTCACAACACTCGAATGGATCGATTCATGGCCATATGGGAACAGAATTTGAAAGACTTGTGTTCTTAAATCTCTCATGTTTCTAATTCAAACAGAGTCGTTGACAATGGCAAACTTGAAATTTGGTGTGGAATAAAAACAATAGAAAATATTGTTAACGTTGAAATTTTCTTCCATTGTATTTTATTTAAATTTGATGTTGAATAAAAACAACCAAATTTTATGTATCAAATTCAAATTATTATCAACTATCTTAACTTTTTTTTTTTTTTTTTTTTTTATGAATAGTAAAAAATTATATTTGTTTTGTTGAATGATCATAAATAAATAAATTTAAAGGTAAAGTATTAAGTTGATGATATTGGAAAATGCAAAGGCTATAAATAAGAGAAAATAATCAAATTTGGAAAATAATCAAATGTTTATTGTTGGTGATTATATATATATTTTTTTTCTTATGATTATTATATATTTTTTTCTTATGATTATAAATTGATTTGTGTTTGTTTGTGAACTTTTAATATATTTTATCTAAATTTTTATCGAATAATTAAAATTAACAACCCAACCCGAAACTTTTTAGGTTGGGTTGAGGTACCAATCAAATCCATCCGAACTTTTGTAGAGCACAATCCAACCCCACCCATGTGCACACGAGACCATATATGGGTGAAAAATTGATCCAAACCTAAAATAGGAAGATTTAGACCATAGAACTTATATATGGATTACTTTTTTGTTTTTTTGGTACTTAATTATGAAATTTTATATTTTAAATATAAATTGTATTAGAAAATAAACAAAATTTGAAATTATATAAGAAAGTATTTCTGCAGAACTAGAAATTTTATTGTAATAAGAATTAAAATAGAAAGGGGAAAGGGGATGTTCTTGCCATAGTAATTAAATATCATAATAGTATAGAATCTTATTGTGTTCACTTGGGTACATGATGTATTTAATTGTGACATTTTAATAAAATTAAGGAAATTAAGAGGTAGTGATGAGTTTAATTGATTATGTTCTTGGATCGGTAATTAATTTATGATGAATTGGATCAAGTTTCTGTTATTATTTAAACTGAAAAGCCCTCAACAAATCACTGCCCTGTTTTGACACACCTTTCCATTCTGCAAATTCGTGGTTCATTTTCTTCCAAAATCTGGGTTTGTAGCCATGGCCGACGTTGATTACACCGCAAAGCTCTTAAACCTCTACTGGATTTCTCCACCGCCAGGTTCAGTTCCGACCACCCGTCTTCCCCTTAGTTTCCTCGACTTCCTCTGGACTATTTGCAGCCCCATGCGACGGCTCTTCTTCTTCCAATTCCCTCACTCTACCAATCACTTCATCGACTCTGTTTTCCCCACTCTCAAACACTCCCTCTCTCTTTCTCTCCAACAATTCTTCCCTCTCGCCGGAAATCTCATCCTCCCTCCTCCACCCCATAAGCCCCACATCCTTTACACACCTCACGACTCTGTACCTCTTACCGTAGCAGAGTCAACCGGCGGCGATTTCAACACTCTAATCGCTGACTCCCCTCGCAACGCCAAACACTTTTACCCCTTTGTTCCTGACTTGCCGAAGTCACGTCTCTTGCCGGACGGGTCACGTGCGATTCCAAATTTCGCTATCCAAATCACGATTTTCCCAAATCAAGGTCTGTGTATTTGTATAGCGTTTCATCACGCGGTTGCCGATGGGATGGCCGTTCACCATTTTCTTAAATCGTGGGCATCCATCTATAGAAATGGAGGTGACTCTGTTTCATTTGAAGGACCGCTACCCTGCCATGATAGGGCAGCAGTGAAGGACCCAAATGGGTTAGAGTCAATTTTTTTACACGAGTTGTCAAGTTGGGATTCATTATGGAACCCAGTTCCTGAGAAGCCCATAATCGATCAGGCGCCTGTTGACAAGGTCAGGACGACGCTTGTCCTGACCAGACCCATAATCGAGAAATTGAAAACTTGGGTTTCAGCTCAATCAAACAGTGACAAAGAGTTGAAGCCTTTACGATTGTCGTCGTTCATCGTTACATGCTCTCTCGTTTGGGGCTGTCTGATTAAGTCAACCCAAAACGAAGCGAGTGGTTCTGAAGACGAAGATGAGCTCTGCTACTTTGTGTTGGTAGCAGATTGCCGGAACCGCCTCAAGGATCAAATACCGCCGACTTATTTCGGGAACTGCCTTGACGTGGGCGCTGTAGTATTGAAGAAGAGTGAGCTTCTGAAGCGTAATAGTATCGTTGTTGTGGCGAAGGCGATCGGGAACAGAGTGGAGGAATTTGAGAGTGAGCCATTTAAAATGGCAGAGGAGTGGTTCTCATTGTGGAGAGCATGTGGGAAAGCTAAACACTTCCTGAGCGTTGCAGGGTCGCCTAAATCAAGGAGTTATGATACTGATTTTGGGTGGGGAAGGCCGAAGAAAAGTGAAGTGCTTCATGTGGACAGTTCCATCGCAATTTCTCTGCATGAATCCAGAGATGAGGAAGGTGGGATTGAAATTGGCATGGGGCTGCATAAGACTCAAATGGATCGGCTAATGACCATATGGGAACAGAATTTGAAAGGGTTGTGTGGTTAAATCTTTCATGTTTCTAATTCAAACAGAGACGTTGGCAATGGCAAAGTTGAATTTGGTGTTGAATAAAAACAAAGATACAATAAAAATCGCTTTCAGAAGTGTTGTTAATAGTTTTTTAAGCATTAACAGAGTAGCAGAGGTAGTGGGCCTGGTTATTCAACTATTTTTGGAGTTGACATAGAACAGAGTAACAACACAGGGACGCTGGGATAATTGAAAATGCAGAGGCTTCCTATTCCTCGCTAGCCATTGCCCAAGCCATGGCTGTGGCAAGAGAAATAATCAGCAGGTCTTAAACTGGTGGTGGGAAGCGTGTTGAAGGCAATACAAAGAGTGTTGCATAAGTTCAGGGCTTAATCTAAACATCAAAACACAAAACTCCATCTGGTTCAAAGCGCCATCGCCATCCAAATCGCCCTCTGTCATCATGCTGAGAAGCTCCGCCTCTCCCATGTCCCGCAGACCCAAAAGGGAAGAGTTTAACCGGAGGCTGTCCAACGTGATGACGCCCTTCTCCTTGTCCATCAGCAGCTGAAACCCATTACACAGCTCGTTTATCAGGCCCTCTCCCCCTAATTGCTCTGCCATTACCGGCAGCAAATCATGGAAAGCAGCACTCTTTCTGGCCATTAATTAAGAACAGGATGAATTTGCTTGGGAACTTGGGGTTGAATGAAAATGGGATTTATAAAGCGAGAAGAAAGGGGAGAAGAAAAGACGGAGAAATTGGGTTAGATGCGATCTCTTTCTTCTTCAGCAGAAGACAGCGCAGGGACTGCAATTGCATCTCGCCTTCGTGGAAGCTTTGAGAAGGCTGTTGTTGTCATTTTAATGGCTGCAACAATCTTTGACTTCGCCTAAATCATGTCGTGGGGATGGGTTTTTCTCGTCAACTCACCTCTTTTCATTCAAGACTTGGTCTTGGCTTTGGCTTCCACCGACCCAATTTGTTAACCAAGCTAAATCGAATGTTCAACAAAAAGAACACAATTTGTTTGGTATTGCTTAATAAAATTAATTTGTTTGTGTTGAGTGCTGTGGAACATGCCTTAATTAAATGTTGAAGGCTGACTTTCCCATTGTCTATTTATCTATACCTTCACAAAGATGAAAATATAATATTGTAATTTGTGTTAATAGTAATTATTAGATAGTTTTTAGTGTTTTATAATGTTCTGGAAGAAGATCAATTTATAAAGCTGAGATATCAATGGAAACATGTCTTGTTTATTGTTTTTATTTACTCTCCTTTGTATTATATCAATTATTTCAAACAATTAGTGGTGGATTAGAGTTGTTACAAATGGTATCAAATCCAGACACCAAGCATGAGCTAACGAAAATGCTCGCTCCTAAGGGGGTGGATTGTAAGATCTCACATCAGTTGAAAAGGGGAACAAAACATTATTTATAAGAGTGTAGAAACCTCTCCCTAGCAAACGCGTTTTAAAATTCTGGAGAGAAAACGCAAAAAAAAAAAGTCCAAAGAGGACACTATAAGCTATGTTGGCACAAATAGTGAGAAAACACACTTTTCAAACAATCAAAAACTCAGATAGTGCTTCTAAATTGAATGAAATCCCTGTTTAACTAATTTCAAACCTATACAAAAAGTTTTCATCACATTTTACAATGTCATTGAATGTTCTAACTCCCTTCTCACCAATCTCATCATAAGATTGTGTGTGTACATATATATATATATATACATACAAAAGTGGGAGTTGAAATCTTTGACCTTCTAAAAGATTAATTATATCTCGGTAAGTATGAATATAGCTCAAGTTGATCATAAATAGGTAAAGTTGAAACACTAGAAACTATATCATATTATTGCATAGTGAAAACGAGAAAAAAGATGGGGGGCTCTAGGATACTTAAGAAGGTGGACCAAACTGAACAAGCTGCATAAACATGCGCCTAAATGCTTCTGAATAACCTTATCATATCCAAGTAATTCGAAAGGCTCAAGAAAGATTAATTGGCTCACCACATAGCTGCGCCAATTCAGTTTCTAAAAGTCTCAACAGGTTTGCTTTGTTCCGCCTATAAATCCAAGCCTGTGAGTCCTGATCCCAATCAAACCTGGACGGACCACTGCAAGGAAGAACATAACATGGGTTGTCACATAATTTCTTTAAAAAATGAAGAGCTTTGCCAAACTATGTCTTGGGTCGTCACAAAATTGTGCACAATACTTGAATATTTGAATAATCAACCTCTTTGTTTGAGCTCTTTGTTCTCTCAGGACCAAACTCAAAGTAGTTTCATTCCTTATTTTCTCCTTTAATACAAGATAAAGACATCTAGGGATAGGAGACATGCCCTTATGAATGGGTAAATGTTAGATGAACAGAAAAGAAATTCCATTTTTTTTAGTAAAGAAGTCGAAAGACGAGCGCAAAGCTTTGCCATGAAATAAAATCAGGGACAACGTGTTGAGAATTGTTGGAAGAGGAGTTCCTCGTCGGCTAATTAAGGGGTTGATTATGGGTTTATAAGTAAGGAATACATATTCATTGGTATGGGGCCTTTTGGAGAAACCAAAAGTAAAGTCATGAGATCTTATGCTCAAAGTGGATAATATCATACCATTGTGGGGGTTTGTGGTTCCTAACATGGTATTAGAGTTATGCTCTTAACGTAGTCATGTTAATAGAACTCTCTAGTGTTGAACAAAGAAGTTGTGAGCCTCGAAGGTGTAGTCAAAAGTGACCAAGTGTCGAACAAAGAGTGTAATTTGTTCGAGGGCTCCATAGGCCTCAGGGAAGGCTCTATGGTATACTTTGTTCGAGGAGAAGATTGTTGAGAATTGTTGAAAGAGGAGTCCCACATTAAGGGGTTGATCATGAATTTATAAGAAAAGAATACATCTTTATTGGTATGGGGCTTTTCGGAAAGAGAGCTTATACTCAAAGTGGACAATATCAAACCATTGTGGGGATTTGTAATTCCTAACACATCGTCTTGCGAAAATGGTCTTTGAAACAGATGGCATAGATAAACATTGTAGATTCTTATCATTCAACAGGAGAATGAGTCAATAGTGAAGCATAATTCATACCTCACAGGAGAAGAAAGCCAAATTTGTCTGTTAGGCGTTTGTTTGTTCAAGACGTACGTGCCAAGATCGCCGAGCCTTAGGGTCAGTACCTCGTTCTACAAAATGAAAATCGGATAAAATTAAGCATTATCTATTCATATGAAATGAAATGAACAAATTTTAGAGCTTCTAAGTCATTCTCACCCCATAATCTACGTCAAAGCCATCAATTTGGAGATCATCACCATATTCCTGCCAAGCAATGAAATATAGATAAACAAAATTTTAGCAGCAATGCCGAAATATGTATATGAAACATATAAGCTGTTACCTTCCTTTAGTTTATAAGATAAAATCAAGGGCAAAAAGATTTTCATTTCATTGATACACAATTACCTCTAATTTCTCTTGCAGTCCATGAATTGTGGAATCAACTAACCTATGAAACTCTCCCTCCTGCATCAGGGAACTGTAGCAAAGATTAGCGAAGAGCACTTGAGCCCTTCTCTACCAAATGCATTCAACTACTAAAGAAAACCCCATGAAAGGCAGTCGTAATTTGTTCAATCAAGGGAAATTGAACTGAATGTAAGACATCCACAACACTTCGTTGAAGAAACACGAACCTACTCTTAGTTTAGTTAGGACCAAAAATTCGAAAATCAATTACCTAATTTGAAAGGCTTCAAGATTGCAAAACAAAATTGGGGGAAGTGGATGAACTTACAAACTTCCGCTTCTTCAAAATCTCGATTCAAATACATAGTTTCTCTTACAAACGGAAAATGAAGAAGTTACCTATAGTCAATGGTGGCAGGTCCGCGAGAATCATCGCCGACGAAATCCAGAGGGCGGGAGCAGAAACTTCGAGAAAAAGACGGAGGATGAAATTGATGAACATTATCGGAGAGATCGAGGAGAGGTCTTGTAGGTTCTAGAAGATACGAATACTTCCTGAAAGAAGAAGAGGAGGAAGAAGATAAAAAAGACGGCACCTTCAGTATCCTTGAAAGCTTACGCAGAGGAAGCAGCTTGGTAGCCATTGTTACATCCTCCGAGTTGAAACTGCGGGCACGCTCGCTCCAGTTTGTGGAGACTTTGGATATGGGCCTCGAATAAAGCCCATGGATCCAAGACAAGGGCCCTCTCTGATTGGGCTTTAATTGGGTCGTACCTCCCGCGTTTTTTATTTATTTTTTATTTTTTATTTTTTAACAAATAATAAGTAGGAGTAGGAGTGTAAAAATCACTCTCTAGTAGATGCGTTTTGAAATTATGAGGCTGAAAACTATATGTAACATGCTAAAACGGACATTATCTACAAGCGGAGGCCTTAGGCTGTTACAAATGATATAAGAACCAGACACTAGGTGGAGTGCTAGCGAGGACACTCAGCTCCAAGAGAGATGAATTGTGAGATTCCACATTGGTTGGAGAGGGGAACGAAGTCTTCCTTACAAGAGTGTGGAGACCTCTCTAATAGATAAATAAATTGAAATATGTTGAGATCCCACATCGTCGAAACATTAAGGGTGTGAAAACCTCTCCCCAAATATATGTTTTAAAATCTTGAGAGGAAGTCCAAATAGACAATATCAGCTAGTGGTAGGCTTGAGCGGTTATAAATAATATAAGAGCCAGACATGAAACGGTGTGGTAACGAGAACGCTAGACCTTCAAGTGGTGTGGATTGTGAAATCGCACGTCGTATTAGTATTAGAAGACTCAAACAATTATTGGACTTAGAGTGATTTGACAAGATATTTTAACATAAGTCCAACAACAATCACTCGTTTGTTTAATTTCGCACGTTAAACAACTGTTGCAGCTATGTTTGTGCATGTTCACACCCATATTTTGTCCATTTCAGCTTAACATATAGTTGAAATGACGATATGGATTTCGTAAGCTCGGGCCGTCAATCCACACCTTATATATACACTATATCCCTTAACTAAGCATCTACCCAAGCCTCCCCATTCACCAACTCTCCCCGATTCGCATGCAATAACCTCTCCAACTCTCTAAGAAAATGGTGCGATCACCGATTGTTGATAAGGATGGAGTCAAGAGAGGTGCTTGGAGTTCTGAAGAAGATGATAAGCTCATGGGTTATGTTCAGAAACATGGCCCTCGGAAATGGCGGCAGGTTCCCTGCGTTCCAGGTACGTTTATAAATCGAACCACGGTTCTCCCTAATGACATTGTTAAGAATA